GAACCTTTCGCCTTTCTTTTGGGTGTATTCGGCATTCTTATCTGTTTCCGCGATAAACGAACCATCGCCCTTCAGAATATCTGAATCCTTCGGTTTCTTTGTTTGGTAACGTTCACCTTGCTTTCCCGAGTATTCTTGATGCGTGACTGTATCTGAATCCATTGCACCTTCATTCTGAAATATTTTACGTTATCATAGATTTGAAGGAATAATCTTTGTTATTAGGGGATTATGCCGCGAACAATACTCGAAGTAATATGAAGTAGAGCCCTAAATCGAATGAAGCTTACTCCGGCTCTTCATTTCATGATTATAATGACACTATCGGATTTCTCCTGGAACTATTTTTCAAGCAGAACAAATTTATGCGTTTATACGAAGAATGATTAGTTAAGAGGAAATTTCTGTTTCACAACCTCTTTTTTTTTCTTTTGCTCACTTTGAATTCAGTGCTGTTATCTGTTATCTGTTCAACCAGCAAATTTGCCATCGCCTTTTATAATAGAATGTCCTAAGCATAGACGGGATGTGGTTTAGAACTTATTCAAACAAGACTCGAACCGAGATGAGAACGAGATGGATTGGTGCGTGCTGATCTTCTCGTCTGTAAAACGAGAACAGCAGTAAACAAAAATCATTGACGGAAAAGGCGAAACGAGATGAGAAAGGATTGGACGGATTTTAAACGAGAATAATGAAAGATGATTTGATTTTTCAAACGGTTCCATCTCTCACAGTGCTATTTTATTGGCAATATTGGCGAGAAGTTCAATTTCACGAAGTGAAGAATTAATTCAGCCGTCTCTGTCCTACAACATTGACTGTCTCAGTTTCTCTCCTCTCCATACGTGAAACGTATTCCTACAATTTCCGCTCGAAAGCGATACGCGAGGCGAATGCCTTGAAAACGGAAAAAATATACCTTCCAGATATCCGCACTTCCTTGACGCATCACTTCAAAGCGTTCACCTTTCTTGGATGTGTATTCAGTTGCTTTGTGTGTTTCCGCAATGAACGTGCCATCACCTTTGAGTAAATTCGAATCTTTTGGTCTTACTGCTGTGACGCGTTCAGCACTTTTCACCGAATATTCTTGATGAGTTATTGTATGGTCATCTATCGCTCCTTCTGCCTACAGTTATTAAACTCAATAAAAGAACAATTCCCCTAACAGAAAGGTTTTTCAGCGTATAATGACTGAAGCATTCACGTGTGACATTATCATGGAAGCTTGGGCACAAGTTATTCTTACTGATATAATGATATATCTGATATTACTGATATTCTTACTTCTTACCTACTGATACTGATCTTATTGATATAATTCTTGTTACATGCACATCTAGCGGTTGTTCTGTTGATCGCTGTGAGCGGTCGGCGGAATATTTATTTTGTAGAGTCATGATTATTCATTGGATTGGTATTTGGTTACGTTTGATTATGCAAAGTATTCACGACACTAATTAAATACTCGGTTTTGTTCACTTAGCCTGCTTGCCTAGCCAGCGGGGTGGCTAAAATCATGGCCAAAACACTGCGAATGGAAACATGAGCATTGTGGCCAGCAAAGTTACAAACGTTTGATAGCCTGGCCAGTCCAGGTATATATAAATTACCTCCGGAGAAAATTAATGTAAAATATTACCTTCCAAATATCCGAACTTCTTGGCTTGACTACCTCGAAGCGTTCACCTTTTTTGGCAACGAAATCACTGCTGTTACTCGTTTCATCAACAAAAATACCATCTCCTCGAAGGATATTTGATTCTTCTGGTAATTTCACGTCGTATCGTTCACCCTTATTACCAGAGTATTCTTGGTGTGTTACACTTTCTGCATTCATCGCACCTTCTCTCTGCAATACTCACAATCAGTAAATTTGTGAGAATAAGAAAAGTATCTTATTCACTGAACAACTCTGTTTAGTTTTTTTATACATTTTCAAAATGAGCACAACATTTGTGAACCCATCAACGAGCGCTTCGATGGAGTGACAGAAGTTTTTACTTCAGTGAGGGATTGTTAACGTGATAGTTAGTGATCAGGTACATTGATTGCATCAACACTTTCTTATCAATATGTCTGAACATTTTCTAACAAGCCAAATGTTGATAATTCGTCTTCAGTGCTGTTTTCTTATCTGAAGCAAATCGTGAAATGACGAAGAAGATTAGGAATTGATTCATTACAATAATCCGACACAATTTTGAATCAATGCAAAAAAACAAACAGAACCTTCCAAATATCTGAACTTCCTTGCTTAATGGCTTGGTATCTTTCGCCTTTTTTCTGCACATATTCCACAATTTTATCCGTTTCTGCACTAAACGGACCATCACCCTTAAGAATATTCGAATCTTCTGGTTTCCTCACTTGATATCGCTCACCCTTCTTTGGCAAGTATTCTTCCCGTGTAATCGTGTGGCTTTCCATGGGTCTTTCATTCTAAACTCATTGAATGAAGTATATCTGATCTGGAGAAACTTTTATTTAAGAACAACTGTGAATAATAGATCATTGTACTGAGAAGCCGTTCAAACACACACATTTTGTCAAGAAATAACGGAATCGTTACTTTTCTCGAACAACATTTTTGCAGTTATCAATGTTCTGCAGTCACTTATGCATTCTTCAATGTCTTATCCCTTTTAGATCAAAGTTCCTGTAATTTTATTCGCATTGGCATACTTAGTCTCCTCAGGAGTATTGGTGGGACGCCTGTTTAAGTAATACCTTACATTCACCTTGCGATCTCGTCGTGATCCCATTTATTGCTTACAAAGCATTTTCATTTGAGTGTCTTTTTGAGTTTAGAGCGGTTATGGAATCACAAAGGTTCAATGTTTTACTATAAGCCCTACGAATAAGTGAAGCCACTAATACCAAACGCACGAGCTGTCTCTCCTCGATTCGGGTGTTTAACTCCAAACTGTCTCGAACACAAAATACAGGCTTTCTAAGTAATAAATTTTTTACCAGTAAACCCTGCCTCCTGCTTGTCCATGAGGTACGGTTTACTGGGAAAAAATTTATCTGCCGTCGAATTAAACGTCATGAGAACGCAGCGTTTCGGCGGGCATGATCAAGTCCAGCCGAATACTCCTAGTTCTTATATTTGCAGTAATATCTTGATGAAAACAGAAAAGCACTGCCGTCGGAGATATTTTGACTGCATTTCCAGTAATTTATCAGATTTATTTGAGTTCAAACAAACACAACGCTAAGTTGAGCTGTACGATGAAATTTGAATGATAATGGCTAAGGCAATGTGGGTGAAGCCCTGGCCTATGCAACCCCACCCCACCCCCCTCCCATGCCTCAAAAAAAGTCAATCTTTTTGAAAGTTCGTGCCACTTTTTCGTAGGTTTGTTCTTACTATTTATGATTAAGCTTCGGAAACAGAAATTTTTTTGAGACCCTCGAAAAAATATTGCATCAACATTCAGTAGTTGGAGCTAGGGCCTTTGCTACGAATTCGGTGCCGGAGTGGAACAGAGCAAATTGGGGAGCTGGGGTCGGAGCCGAAAATTCTAAAAAGTCGCACATAGAGTCGATAAATTAAAACCGCAGAGCCGGAGGCGAGAATTTTGAAAACGCGGAGCCGCGGCTGAGTCAGTTTTTTTCAAACTGGCATTCGTTCTTCAAATTGGGCATTACTTCTTCAAACCGGTCATTACTTTTTCAAACTGGGTGGTACTCATCATTTAATGTGCTTTCAAAATCAAAATTTGAGCCGAATTGTAAGCTCGAAATAACCCATAAGAAAATATCACGAACGCACTGAAGTATGTCAAATTTGATCGATCGCCACTTCCTAAATAATCATCACAGACTGTTGACAGTAGATTGATTAAACTGTTCACTATATTAAAAAACGTGCTAGAGAAATATATCTCATCGGACCAGACATAAGACGGGCAGCATGAGAATTCTCGGTACTTATTTGACAGAATGGATTCCCTAGAACAACCGTTCCAAATGCCCAAGTGTGACCATGTGGTAGTTTTAAAAAAACTGATGAATGAACATCAAGAAATCATGGCTACCGAAAATGAAACATCGACACAAAGATGCTGATAGTTCAATGAACGCCATTGAAACTAATGTTCCAATCCAATCACAAGTTAGTTTGCAGCAGGAAGAACGAAGCTGAAAACAAAAGCTGGACAGATGAGATGCTACCTTCCAAATATCGTCACTAGTCCGTTTCACTGTTTCGTATCGTTCACCCTTTTTCACCGAATACTCTTCTCGCGAGACTGTATTCGAATCCAGTGCACCTTCCATCTGTAAATACAACTATGACAAAACACATCATCAGCAATACTAATCGTTTATTCACTTAAAACACTCGGCTGCATTAACATTTCACCTGTCATCTTCGACAACGTTCTTGCAAATTCCACAACAAAACTAATATTTAGCAACCAACGAACGGTCCCGCCTCTCGTTCATAATGCAACGACCCAAACAGGGTTTGTGGTAATGTACTCACTTTCCAGATATCCGAGCTTCCAGGCTTCGTAGTTGGGAACCT